ATCATAGGCAAAGTCAAATGCCTGCAGAGCTCAGGGGAGCAAAAGAGGTGGGAAGCGCAAGGGGCTGCCCTGGAAAACACAAAGCCCACCACAGAGGACAGGTGCGCTCAGCTCCAGGGGACTGCGGTCACGGGGACCGTGGGCCTTGGTGTGGCAAGGCCTGATTTTTCCCCACGAGGTATCCAGATGTCTGGATTTCTATATAAATTTATCCAATTCTTAAAACCCTGAGCAAAGAAATGACAACAGAAGGTTGGGATCCAGCCTTGGGGCTCTCAGGGGTGACCTGTTAGAAACTAACAGACTGTGCAAATCTACTTGTCCATTCCCCTGAGAGCTTTAACGTGGGGAGAGTTCCGCGATGGTTGTGTAGCTTGCTATGGCCCCAAAGTGTGGGTTTGTACCAACTGAACTCAAGATCTGGTTATTGCTGGAACTGCATAGAATGCTACACAACGTGTATTACAGATACTCAGATCAGATTTCAATTCAATTGTCACTTAGATTACCTATTCTATTTCTCTACTGTTGGGCTGGTTCATCCATGCTTTCCTCCCAATAGTGTAAAGATGAGTCTCCTTCTTTCTGCCTTTGCAGAGTTGGTGTATCCCAGATAAATCACATCACTTAGGGAAAAATTATGACCTAATGCATTAGCCTAAAATTCTTCCTCTAACTTTACTTCTTTCACTACTTTATCTAACAGGGAAATTAACAGGTAGAAAAAAAATACAACTGTTTCTAACAAATAAAGCTAATTAGATGCTTAAGTCCTTTCTGTAACATACAAACTGAAATCATTTGAAAACTGACACGCCAATGAGCAGGGCTTGTCATGGAAAGAACACTTATGAGGAAAAACTTAATACCAGATTTTTAGATTTGCGTAATGGTTTCCTGGGAAGCTGGGTTTTCCCACTCTGCTTCTTTGCCTATGTTAAACACTTTAAAAGGGTGTAGGCAAGTATTCTTGTCAGCAGGGACCTGGCATTAACGTCTCCTTCCTAGACTCCCTGTGCCTTGCTTCAGCCTCCCGGCAGTGAGAGAGCTAGCCACCCAGGCGATGTTTTATGAATCTGATGTTATAAAACGGAGGGCAGTAAATTAGGGAGCTGGAGTCTGTCTGTCTCTTTCAGAACACCCCATTTTGGGTATATGAAATGTGTGTTGCCAGCAGGAGTTTCTGAGACAAGATGATGAAGGAGAGGTCTGCTTATATAGTTTTGTTTTTTCAGCTGACTTGGCCCCAGTGGATATATAGGAGGTGAGAGGGGGAAGAAATGATTAAATTGCCTAGGAGTAAAAACAACCCTTCCCCCTGCTTCTTAGTAAGAAACTAAGGAATGAGAGACAAATATTTCCATGAAGTAGTAACTGCCCCTTGAAAAAGCTTTCATTAGTTAAAAAAAAAAATCAGCCTATGCCAAATTCAAATTCAAGTGAAAATGTGTATGGAATCATAGTGGAAAGAATAGATCTATTCAGCATGAGATCAGAGAAACAATTAACTAGATTTTCTGAGTTTCCACAACTGAAGCAGAAAGATGAGATCCACTTAACCATATACACATGTATATTACATATCAGATGGCTAGATTAAATTCTGCTCAGCGCGTGCCTGCGTCCAAGCGCTCCTAGGCACTTTCATGCATTACCGAATTCAGTCTTCACTTGGCACCAAAGTACTATTATCTCCATTCTGCAAGTAAGGTGAACTACTTGCCCAGGGTCACACAGCTGGTAAGAGGTGACAGGGAGACTCCAGCTCGGTGCTGTCAGGGCTGAACTTCAAGCTCCTTCCATTCTGACTGGTGAAGTACAGATAAAATGAAGCTGATCTTCAAAATTACATAGAATTATAACTATCTTGTTTGTGTGTGCTGCTACACGCCAGGCAATTCTGGGGCATGTGAAGCCTGATTATGCTAAGTGAAATAACTCAGAGGAAGACAAATACCAAATGATCTCACTTGTATGTGGAATCAAATAGAACTCATAGATACAGAGAACAGATTGGCGGCTGCCAGAGGTGGGGGACTTATGGAAATAACACATGGGAATATAATGTACAGCATGGCTCCTAGAGTTCATAATAGCAATTATTTACATAATTTTGTATGCGAAATTTGCTTAGAGAAATCTTAAAAGTTCCATCACAAGAAAGGATGCATGTATGGTGATAGATGTCAACTAGACTTATTATGATTGTCAATGTATACAAATATCAAATCATTGTTATACACTAGAAACTTATATATACGTCAATTATATCTCAATAAAAATATGAAAGCGCATGTTCATTTAGATTGCTCTAGTTTTAGCAAAATTGCGTATTTTCTGTATAGTATTTTCTAGTATTAAAGAAAATGTTTTTTAAATTAAAAAATGTAATTCTTGTGTTGTTCTACAGGAGGTCAAACTAGAGACAAACACTTAAGCAAGTGGTACCAAGACTTCTGGGAGCAGCGCTGCTATCAGAGCAGAAGGTGTAGGATCATGGGTGGGAGACATGAGGATGCTGGGGATGCTTCTGAGAGATGCAAGGATGGCCAGGGTCTACAATGTTCTGGGGAGAAGGCAAAGCACAAAGATGAGCATGTGGTATGTTTAGAGAAGGACAACACATTCTGATTCTGGGGAAATGGGAGAAGGGCTGAAGAAGTGAATTGGGATCATTTCATGCTATTGTACTTTTCCATAAGGTCACCAGGTAATAAAAATTTTTAAGAGAAACAGCTTGTAGCAGTGTAGAAGATGCATTAATTAGCAAGGGAGAGAGAACCCAACTTGCAAGAAATAAAAACAGTCTCAGTGGGACATGATCAAGGCCTGGATTATGGCAGTGGTGTCCAGGACAGATGAATGGAAGATGTCCCATCGCCAGGTGATAATGCCAGCTCAGAACGAGTGTGGTCTTTGCCCCGAGGTGGTGTGGATACCATCAGCGAGGATGGTCCTCCAAGCCAAGGAGCTGTTTTGACGGCAACAAAAGGCTCTGGACAGTACATATATATGGAGGACACTAAGGTGGATGGCATCTTTGGTCCTCTGCTGGCTCTAAGGGATTTCAGCTCGTGAGAGGTCCATGTTCTGTTCTGGCTAGGGATTGTGGAATATTTGAATTCTGTCTCATTATTCCCGAGTCCCTCAGAGCCAAGAGGAATTGTGTGATTTTTGGAGGCTAACTGAGTTATCTGAGGCAGCCTGGAATAACTCAGTTCCCATAGTAGGAAGGCTCTCAGAGATACCTGGCTGAAGAACGTCCTCATTTCTGGGAGAAGTGCAGAACCACCAAGGCCTTTAAGACCCTTATCTTGCAAACCCCAGATGGCTGCTTGGAGTGCTGAGTTACAAAGGCACTCCAAAGCACCTTCATGCCTTCCAGTTTCTCCACTTCCTCTCCCTTCCCTGTCAGTCTAGGGAAGGATACTTAGCAAGACTGAAATTCTCTGGCTTTCAAATGAGACAATACATGGAGAGAGTCTGCGCCCCCATCACTAGAGGGCACCAGATGCACACAGAATGTTTACACATCAACGTCCATAAGCTTCAAAACCAGACAAATCTCACAAGAAAGTGGCTTGCAATAAGGTAGCTTCCCCACTACCCTGTCCTTATTAACTCCATTTCTTCTGAGTAAAAGAAATACGCTAACTTGGACTCTGTTATGTTTTACGAATTCTCTTTTAATTCCAAGATCTAGTAAGTTGGAGACATGAGCATGGTTTTCACAAAATCCCATGACTACATAGTCTTTGCTGCCACTTATCTGGCTTTTACCATGTGTTGGATGATGCGTACCACCTTATATGAGCTTATCACATGGTTTAATTTCAGATCCTGCAAAAAATGAAAATGGCTGGTATGGATAGCATATCTGCCCCGGACGGCAAAACTGCGAGACAGAGTTCACCTCTCTACCATGCAGCGTATAGGTATCTCTACAAAACCTAGTCCTTATGTTCTTCTATTGAAAATTAAAAACTGCTCAGGTGCTGGTTTATGTAACCCTGCAGGGGACGGCACAGAAACAGTCATAAAGAAGCTGCCAGCCTTCCAGATTCCCTTGCTTGGCCTCAGGGGCACGATCCCCTATGCCAAGACCTTGCTGAAGTTTATACAAGCAAAACTGGGCTCATTTTTTCTCATCTGCGATGCTTTCCCTGATCCATAGTCTTGCGCTTTGCAAAAGAAAATGGAAAGTGAGTATTCACAGAACTACAGGATTCTGTTGAGTGCTGACAGGTCCTCTGTACTGAATAGATTTACAGGGGCTCTGCCTCCCCCAGGCAGACCCAGTATCAGGTCAGCGCTAATTGGCACCTGATGGGAGGGTCAGACACAGGCTGTGGGAGCAAGCGCATTAGGGACTCTGTGACAGCAGTTGCCGACGTGCATTTCTGAGGGCTGTCAGGCAGGATCTTCAATCACAGTGTGCTTTGTGCTACGCGCTCTAAAAATGGAAATTAAACCACCCCGCTCCTCACCGGACTGTGTGAGGCTTGATGGATGAGCTTAATGAACCCAGGATAAAGGAATTAGCCCAAGTAGAAGGTAGAAAAAGGATTAAGAAGCAAGAGGTTTTCATGCCCTTAGAATCTCCATCTTCTCCAGGACAGAGGCAAGCGGGTTAAAGGGGGGCCCCTGTGTGAGGGCAGGACTGGCTAAAGGACTAATTCGCATCACATATTGAGAAGCCACTGAGTGCCAGGCATGAGGCTAGGTGTTTTTGGGTTTTTTTAAAATCTGTTCAACTCTTAAGAACATTTATTCTTGTTTGATAGAGGACGAAATGCGGCTACGTTTATTTTAACAATTTGCCCAAGATGACCCTGCTCATTATAATAGATAACAGGAGAAGAAAAACCAGCCAACACTGACCACACGCATCCCCCGTACCGAGAGCTATCCTCCCAATCCTCACGGCACTGCAGTGGAGACAGCATCATACCCACTGTGTAGGTAAGAAACTCAAGGCTGAGAAACTTTAAATCACTTACCTACGTGCACCACCACCTTCGCCTCCTTCTGCCGCTCTTGGCCACGTCACCACCATCTAGGCACTCTCGACCACATCATGTCCCCAGATTTGCTGCTTCATTCTACAATTGAAAAAAAAAAACAAAAGCCCGATAAATTAATTTATATGCATACCCTGAAAACCCTGTGTTAAAGCCAGGTCACCAAGATGAGCAGGTCCCAGGAATCTTATATAACAAGGGCCCTGTGGCTTTATTCAGACAGAGAGTCCCATGGCCAAACACATTTAGAAAATTAAACATGCTATGGCGTCCTCTTAGAGATTCCTAAACTTACCACACAAAACCCGGGAAAACAGAAGAAACTTCCAAGGATGGCGCCTTCCATTTGTGCGAACCAACTAGCCCTCAGTTACGTGACCTCCCACCTCAGCCGCCTCCCTGTGAAATGAGCTAACACTGGTAGAGCGGGCTCTTTATCAGCAGTGAGATTACTGCTACCATCATCTCCACCTGAAAACAAGGCGGCGGGGTGCGGGGGAGATGCACTGGCCACCACCTCCAAGGCTGTGGGCCCTTCTTCCAGAACTCCCTGGGCACAAGTGAAAGGATGGTTCTGGAGAAGGCAGGGGTTTCCATCAGTTAGAGGCCGAGCTCTCCTCAACCTTTCTGTGTCTCAGTTTGCTCATCGTTAAAGTGAAGGTTAAATAATCCTTTCATCTTACTTTTGTGGACACTAAGGGAGCAAAGAGCTCAGCAGGTGTGGGTTGTTAACATTAGAAGGTCAAGAGACAGCACCTGTGATGCACGCGACTGTGACGTCACCCAAGAGAAACATAACTTCAAAGGCGTCTCAGAAGCCATTTTGGGAAAGAGTAAAACTTCATTTAAAATTTATCTGGTCCCAAGCATATGAGAAAATTAATCTTCCCACTCCTTCTTAGGAGAAGGCCTAGTGAAGCAGCAGTAAAGGAAGGAATTGACCGGATGGGAAAATACCTGGAGAAGAGTGAATGAAACCTCTGGAAAAGGCTGCAGACCACCCTGTCCCCTCCCCTTTGCAGCAGCGAGTCTGAGAGGCGCCCCGGGCCCCCCTGTGTGGGAAGGTGCCCGGGAAGGTGTGCGGGCACGGCCAGGTCAGGGGCGGCAGGGTGAGAATGGGTGCATAAAAGGGACACTGTATTCATTTCTCAAGATTCCACATAATCCTTTAAATAAATTCAACCTGTTTCCATTCGAGTAACTATCTCATTCCACAGAAGTTTAATCTGAAGGGATAATGGATATTTCTCTGGAAAAATACCGAGCAATTATAGCAACTCCTCCCCTCCTCCCCTCCCGGGCTCCTGCTCCGGGTTAAGATGCAGCACGAGGTCTGCAGATGCCCAGCTGGGGAAGCCTACTTGGAAAGTGGGTGAGGCAAGGTGGCGCAGAGGAAGAGGAGGTTAGGCAAAGTCAGAGAATGTTCCTTGGAAGGACAGAGAGGTTTCTTTTCGCAAGACTGCTTCAACTGTACCTTCTCCCCAGAAACAAATTAAGTCCTGCAGGGGGAGAGAGAGAACCAATAGCCAAAAAAACTTTGCATACAAATTACAAAAGAAGAAAGAACATGTGTTTGTGCATATGTGTGTACATTTGTGTGTTTTTTATATCCAACCAGAAAATGTATCCTCTGAAAATCATACAAGAGGGCAGCAGTTTAGATATGATTGGCCATATTAAGTCATTCAGAGGACTCTGACATCTTAAAACAGTGCATTTAATAAATTGCCTGTTTTACTTAAAAAATAAATTTCTACTAAAATGAACTCATTGGAAAAACGACAGACTTTCAGATTAAGCCAAGGGATGGCAGCCTTATGGTGGCTGAATAATACATGGAAACACTTGTCATCAAAGTAGGTGCTCAATATGTTATTTAAAAATTTTTTTCTTTAATTTTATTATTTTTTTAATTGAAGTACAAGTCAGTTACAATGTGTCAATTTCTGGTGTACAGCACAATGTCCCAGTCATACATATACATACATATATTTGTTTTCATATCCTTTTTCACTAAAGGTTATTAGAAGATACTGACTATAGTTCCCTGTGCTAGACACAAGAAACTCCTTAAAATCTATTTTTATATATAGTGGCTAACATCAATGTATGTTAATATCTTTCTTGTCTCCTTTCATGAAAAACGGATGATAAAAACAAAGGCAGGTAGGAGAGAGAAGAAATAGGGAAAGAGGAACAAATGAAGGAAGGAAGTAAGCTCAAGAAGTAAAGGAAGAAAATTTTCCCCCCAAATTCTGTACTAGCTAAGACGTGGAAGAAATTGATGCAATTAAATAGTGATGATATTTGTGGACATTTCAGGCAGTTTTCCTCAGCACATCCTGTGAGTAAACCCTGTGGTATATAGGAGGCTTTTTAAAAAAGACTTTACAGCCAATTCACGATGTAACACCAGCTGCATATCTTAAAGAGACATGACCTCCAGCCAGACTGGACGTTCCTTCTGTTTTTTTCTTATCTCTGAGTGTTTGTTTTAAAGGGAAAAACAATTTTTTAGCAGCAGTTGTGAATGGTACCTTTAAAAACAAACCTTTGAAATCAGACTGCGATCATCTTGTGGCCTTAGTTGGACCATATGATTCTTTTGAGGTCCGAGAGCATGAACAGATGTCTGTGTGCTCAGACCTCTTGCAAGCCAAGCCGGCCTGTGTTTTGGCATGTCCAGGAGAATGCCACAGACAAGTGGGTTTTGATTTACAGATACATATAAGAAGATGTGATTTCCTTTCCAGGAAAAGGGCACGATGGCTAATACACTTTATACACACGGAGCCTTGTAGAAGTCTGGGCTACAGTCGGGGCTTGTCAAAGTGGGTCCTTCAGTGGGAAGCATCACTCCCATGTGCTCACTGGTAGATGGTCAGTCTGGAAAGACACGGAGGTGAGGAAGTAGGAGGGGAAGATTTGAAGAGAGGAAGAAATTGGGGGGCATGAACCTCAACATTTCACTGGAAAGGTTCCCTCAATTTCACATGTATCCAAATTTTATTTATCTGGATCTTGTTTGCTTTGTGCTAGTTATCTCCTGTTTTTCAGGCCTGGGTGGTCCTTTTGCCTGGAAACACTGGCTGCTTTATTTTCTCTCACATGGGGGTTTCTGTCTGATGAGATTTCTATACAACTTAGGTTGATTTGGTCCAGTCAGCTTGAGGTCAATTTTCCAGCTGCATACGTGTGTCCCTTTCACGTCATCAGCGAAAGCTGTACCTTAACCATCCCCAAAGCTCAACAACGTTTATGGGCTCCCCAGAACAAGGACTTTTCGGATCAGTGAACTTTAGTAAATTGAAGCGAAGAGAACAACAGACAGTGCTCTTCCGAGCCTCAGGACTCTCCTCTGTGGGGAGGCCACCCCGCAGGTTGCCAGTTTGACCATAGCGCTACTGAGGTCTGGTGAGGCTGCCTCAGTTTCCAGGCTGGCTAGCTTTGCACAGACAGCAATTTCTGCTTGGCCATGGGTTGTACCCCTAAGCCCAGGGAAGTGTCTATGTCGTTCAGAGGGAACATTAAAGAAAAGCGTCCACTGCAGCTTTTCCAGCTCCATTCTGCACATTCGTCCTTTGTTCCCTGACGACCCGCAGAGACAAAGGCACCTCTGTCCTTGGTTTGGTTGGCCTCCCCTCTGCGGAGCTCTCTGGTCCCTCTCCAGTCCTACACTCCATTAAGACTGTTCCTGTGGCCAGAAGGTGATAAAAGCAACACATTTCAAATAGGAAAAACAAGTGTCCAGGAAGGATCCTGCCATCAAGTTGAGACAAATGAAAAAGCCAGGCCTCCAGTTTCTCCGTCTGGATCTAGAGCAGCTGGGGGAGAAACATCAGGGAGGCTCTGAGCAGGACAGTGGGGGCAGGCTGGTGGGCTGGACCCCGCCCCTGTGTGCACATGACAGAGGCGGGACCCTGGGGCAAGGACTCCTCCCAGCAGTGGCTCCGCCCAAGGTTTGGATGGCTCTTGCTTGCCTTTGTTCTGGGTCATCTTTTTCCTCCCCCTCTTTTTCACACTCTCCCCTTCCCCTTTTCTTTTCTTCACTTGTCACTTTTTACCCTCTGCTCAGAGCTCTCCCCACCTCTCCCCCTCATCCACCTAGCAGATCCTCTCAAGCCCAATTCTACAGGGTGTCCCCCTCTCTGTATCATGTAATACTAGCGGTGGTTATCAGTTGTTGAGAGCTTATCATGTGCTTCTTCTCTCCCTTGGGTGTTTCAGCCACCTTTGAGACAGTGTGCTAATCAGGATAGACTGACTGTTGCAAGAAGTAGTCTCAGACTTGCAGCTACACTGTCTCGGTCTCATGCAGGGTCTGGAGCACACATTCCTGGCTGGCGGCATTTCCTGAGAGGCTCCCCTTCAGGCGGTGAGCACAGGGTTCCATGCCCCTTCCATACTGTACCTCCTCCGTCCCGGAGTTTTGGTGTAGAAGCCAGAGAGGATGTGGAGGGTCACAAGGATGTTTTAGGGAGGCCTCTGGGTGGTACCCCGCCACTTCCCCCACATTCAATCTGCCACAAGTCTGAGACATTGCCCCTCCTAGCTGCAGGGAAACCAAGAAATGCAGGATGAAGGTGAAACTGCATGGCGGGTACAGCACGGCCTCTCCCACAGGTAGGCGCTGTCATCCCCTCCACATAAGGAAACTGAGGCTCAAAGGTTCAGAGTCATCAGCTAATACAAGGGAGAATCCTGATTCCAACTACAGAACCACACTCTAGCCTTGTGTTCTGCTGTCTATGACTCTCTTCCCCAAAAAGTTAGTCTCTCCTTTGCACTAACACTTAACCTTTTAAAAATCTTAACTCCCCTGCAGGGCTACACCTCCTGGACCAGACTGTGAATGCCCCAGAGAGAGGGAAAGCTGTTTTTCCTAACAGCAGATAGCACCGTACCTGGGACATAGTGAGGCTCAATAAAAATTTCATGAATGAAGAATAGCTGTGGTTCAAGTGTGGGTTCTCAGAAGGGTCCCTGAGGCGCTTCACCATGATTGAATCACTTCACTCAACAACTTTTCCAGATGACTGTCAAGAAGTCTGGATTATTGCAACATCACCCCCATGTAGCTT